TGCCAATAACCAAGCCACTGTCCGTGACAATGTCATTGACATCATCCACGTCTACCCACTAGATCGACCGATGACCAATAATCTCAGGTCTGACCATAAAAGGGTAGCCTTTGCAAGGAAGGTGGATGAAAGATATAGGGGCCAGCCCAGCAAGAGGTCTCAGACAGATGAGGAAGGTATCACTTTCTCCAATATCGACTTGGTAGGAGTGGTCCTCATATATGAGGACGCCTTGATCCTAACTCTGAAGATTGGTGGTTTTAATGTCAAAAGGGTCTTGGTAGACTCTGGGAGTTCCTCGGAGGTGATGTACCTCGAAGTCTTGAAACGCATGGGCCTTGGTCCCAAAGATCTCACCAAAGTTAGGATGCCCCTAGTTGGATTCAACAACTCATTTGCCTTGCATATATAAACGCACACTTATACTACGAATACCCTCAAAACAATTAGACATATACGCCCCCACCGAGACACATGCACACACTTATCAACACAGGGAGAGAGACTGTCACAACCATTATTTTGCGAAGTTTGGAGGGGATAGCATCGAGGGATGAGGGATCAGGCGGAGGTCACGCTTGTTGTCTCCATGTTGCCATCCACCCAAATTGATTACCAACGTCCTCCAGTTCAAGAAAAATTTATGTAGAGATAAGGGTTTGATTAGGTCGGAGTTTATTATAAATTTTTCTATTTCAAGATATAATTTTTGAGGTTAATTTATAATAAAATATAATATAGAATTAAATTATTTTTGAGTGAAGTTGTAATATTTTTTGAAGTTTCTGGCAGTATGATATCAAAAAAATATTTTTCAGTACCATAAATTTATCAAAGTTACAATGGAACCAATTAACTTTTTTGCTTCTAGTTAGATTTTGTTAAAAAAATCTTTGCAAATAAGAGTGAATCATCAATCTCCACTGTGGTCCTAGAAGTGAATAATCCTCTCCTCTGGATGCTTCCTATCGATACCTTTCCAGAGTCGAGTACTTGTCAAGAGCACTCGATTTTTTTCAAAACACACGGTAAAATTTTAGCTTCAGCCCCAACATAAGTGCGCTATAGTTCCCTGCAAATACATGTATGGTGTTGAGGTGTTCTTTGACGAATATGTGAAGTGGTCTATCTATATATTTATTTTCAGCACAAAAAAAAAAAAAGAATACTGTGTCTTTGGACGCTCGATTCAGTAATTTCACTAATTTGTATATAATTTTGGGCCGATAAGAGATGCAATAATCAAATATAACTTAATTTTTAAATTAATAACTTTTGGTATGATACTTGAAATTTTTTTGATATACCTTTTTTTTTGTGGTAAGTAAATAGTTACAACAGTGTTATCCCCAATTAACATTGTGATTTAATTTGCTAAATTTAATTCAATTGAGATACTTAAATTAAATCAAAATTTAAAATTTTAGCGAATTTAATTACGGATGTAAAAGTAAAATTCGTTAAAATTTTAAATTGTAGCTTTTAAATTGAGTTTCCTAATTTGTAAGCACTCATATTTTTTCATTTATGGGAAAGACTAGGTTACTGAATGAGTACCGTACCAAAATTTATAATTATTTAAGATTAAGTTATAACTTGTTTATGGTGTAAGTAATAATAGTGTAAGTAATAATAGTAAATGGCGGCGGTACCGTAGACTTTCCATTTGAGCGAGTCTCCACCAAAATTTGCCCCACCCGTAGTCTGTGATCTATCATGTTCTGTGGTTTGCGGTCGTGGTAGGGTAGGTACCAATTATTTGGCATTATACTGACGAAATGTGTCAATTATTTGACATTATACTCTGATGGTAACATACCACCATACTTACCGACCCCACATCCATGGTAATCTACTTTGTAACTATTGGGCCAATAATGTGGCTCTTTTACACGTAATCTTACAATAATTTTAAGAGAAATTCAGACGTCGATCCTTTATATGAATTTATTTATACTTAAGTTCATTAAGAAAATTTATTTGTTATAAAATTCGTGTTTTGTTAATTTTATCAGATTATCTCTTATTTTTAAAAGTGAAATAAAACTAAAAATTAAAAATTTTAAAATTTTAAAAATTTTACTAACATTTAAAAATTTTCTCTCTATTATCTATCTATATCCATATATAGATTAGGATTATATATCTTTCTTATATATATATATAGTAACATTAAAAATAAAAAATAATAACATTAATTCAAACACAAAAAAAAAATTACCATTTAAATACAAAAAATAATACTATTTAAAACAAAACTTTTATCCAAAATATTTTTTGTCTATATTTAAGTATCACTTGACAAATTTATGTTAAAAAATTGTTAATAATTTAGATGATGTCCACTTAAGAGACAATATAAAAACATATTCAATATTTTAGGGATCAAAATAATTCAATTAAAATATTGAGAATTAAAATAAAAAAAATTATATTTTAGAGACTTTCAGTACAATTAATCCTATCTAAAAAGTAATTAAGTGGCGAAGATACTGTAGACTTTCCTTTGAGCAAGTCTCTATCAAATTTTGCCCCACTCATATTGTCTTGTTTACGAATGCCCCCACCACTTACTGATGAATTTTATCAGTTTTCGCCGCCAAAAGAGAACACACGATCAAATCAAGTCCAAAGTTGACAAGGCAACAGAAAATGTGGATGTGATCAAAATTAAATTCATGTGTTTCTATTCAATTTGATCAAAATCTTATCCAAATTTATGTGGATGTGAGCATTTTGTGCGTAACTCCTTTCACATGTCTGTCAGGCAGTGGACGAAAAATTATTGTATTCTGTTGGTGGATGTTAATAAGCTTGAGTCCCACAAAGAGCTTAAATTATAAATACTAGGGTTAATTTTTAATTACACTATGAAAAATTATTTAAATTTTAATTTATACCCTCAAAAATAAAAATATGAAACAGGTGTTAATTTATTGTCTAAAACTAAATTGATAAATTACACTTAAATCCTCTCATACTTGTCACTTAATTACTTAGACCCCTCACATTTAAAATATTACACCTACATCCCTTGTAAGCCCATATATGACTAAAAATATTCCCCTAATTGGACATTTAAATAATAAGCTTGATTTTAAATTTTAAAATATAACATGCCCACAAAATAAAGAGTAGTATGAAATTATATTTTTTTATTATGATGAAATTATATTTTTTAATGATTATATTAACAGATGTCAAAGACAAAGGATTATGTGTTACACGTGCACAAACGTTAGAAAGTGTAAGAGTAATATTATAAATAGGAAGGAGTCGAAATGATTAACCAACAAACATATAGGGAACTAGGTTTAATTTATTCATTTAGTTTTAGATGGCAAACTGACGGTTGCTAGTTTCAGGTGCGTATTGATACAAATTTTTATTTTTGAGGGTATAAATTGAGATTTTTTATCTTTTGAGGGTATAAATTGAGATTCGAACGATCTTTTGGAGTATAATTTATAATTAATCCTAAATATTAACAATGTTTGAATACTAAAAATCAAACATTGATTGTGTAAATTTTATATTTTAAATAATAATTTTGTATTTATTTTTTTTTGAAATTATGTAATTTAAAATTAAAATAATCAGAGAGAGATAGAGAAAAGAGAGATAAATGTGAATTAATAAAATTATCTAATATTAAAGAGTGTGTGAGTTGAGTTGTCTCACATTAATAACCGGGTAGAGAAGATAATATTTTTGAGTGAAAAAAAAAATAGAACATTTTTATAATTAGATCAAAAGAAATAAAAATTAAATTAATTTAAACAATTATTGTGATTTTATAAATTGAAAATCCAACTTCTTGACGGTAAAATAAGATAGATAATAAGCCAGTCAAATGCCAAAGTGTCCACTGTTTCTGATCCAATAACAGACAAAAGTATCTTCCTAACTAACATTATTTTTAATTTGTTTGGTTCATTGGTATGTGGTGTTTAGTACAATTTTTGCGCATCTCGACTAATTTGTAATCCAATCACATACGCTTTCATTTATAGAAGCAAGCAAACCTTGAATGAACACAGTTATCCATGAATCATATGCATCCGTTAAATTTGAATTTGTGAGTAGGCTTGTCAATAAATCGTATTCTAATTTAAATCTGATTAATTGGATATGAATTAATATTTTTTTATCGATAATCCGAATTCGATATCTTTTATTTCATGAATTTAAATTTGGATATACCTATATTCGATCCGATTATGATCCGTTCCAAATTATTTATATATTTTTACATAAATATTTTAAAAAAAAAGGGGATTATTTAAAGAAATTTAGTTAAAATTTAGGTATAATTTGATACTATTTATTTAATTAAGTTATTCGAATTTGATCAAATTTTGAATTATTAATTGTTTCGGGTGTGAACCACAAAAAACAATTTATTGAATCATTGGATTGGACTTTTGAAATTGAACTTGAATTCGGATAAGCCTGAATCAGATTCAAATTCGACCCATTGACAGACCTATTTGTGAGGGGCATTCTTGATAGAGACAACTCACAGAAATTAGTTGGGATAAAAGTTACGTTGAGTTGTATTTCAAATTGAGATTCGGATTCAAATCTAGACTCCAATTTGTGTTTTAACTAGGATATGAGTATCACAACCTGACAATCATACTAGATGAATTGAGCTTGTGTCATAATTTAGTGAGTTTATTTTAAAAATTACTTTACCCATACACGAGTTGGCGGATGATTAATCAATTATGACAGTTTATTTGGATTTGTTTATTAGGTAGATCTAACATGTTCACTTATTTATTATTCGAATGTATTAAAATCAAATTTTAATTTATTAATTTTGTTTTATAGAATAATCATATCGTCCTTATGCCACACTTGTAAGTAGTATGATATATAATTGAGTTAAATTTGTTGAGTTCGGTTTTTTAAACAAATTCAAATAATTTAATTATTTTACACATGAAAAAGTCAAATTTTATAAATTCCAATTGATACCACAGAACTTCAGCCTTTCCCATCCGTCGTCATGACTCACCCCTCCAACTGACCATTTCATTCCGGGCCAGGACACGTGAATTTCAACAGTATCGCATGTAGCCGAGAAACAAAAATATAGCCAAATAATCACCACTTCTCTGTTCATTACACAACATGGCTTTCATAGACTTTCTCTCCAACCCAACCTCCATAGCTATCTCTGTTTTCTCTCTCATCCTTGCCATCTTCATCCTGCAAATCCTCAGCAGTAAATTACAGAATCAACAGGGGAAGAAGAAGTACCATCCAATTGGTGGCACCATATTTAATCAGCTGATCAACTTCAATAGGTTGCACCATTACATGACTGATCTTGCTGGGAAGTACAAGACTTACAGATTGATTAGCCCTTTCAGGAATGAGATTTATACTGCCGACCCAGTAAATGTTGAGTATATTCTCAAAACAAACTTCGAAAATTATGGCAAGGTACGGCCTAATTTCAGATTTAGTACGCAATATTTTGGGCACTGTGAAAATTCAATGAAATGTATGCTTATCTATTCCCGTTTGTGATAATGACTCGGTATAAGCACTACTAGACAATGATACTTCTAATTTATCAGTGTCGGTCGGTATAAATGTTCGCCGCCCCATGATACTTAAAATTTTGAAATGTTATGCAGGGAGAGCTTAATTACATCAATTTAAAGGATCTATTAGGAGATGGAATTTTCACAGTGGATGGTGACAAGTGGCGTGAACAGAGAAAAGTATCAAGCCATGAATTCTCCACAAGGATATTAAGGGACTTTAGCAGCAAAGTGTTCAGGAAAAAAGTAGCGAAACTCGCTGACATAGTTTCCGAAGCTGCAACTTCCAATCAAATAATGGATATTCAGGTGAGTTCTCGCTATTCAAGTATCCCAATTCAACCATGTATTATATTTTTCTTATAACACTAACCTAGACTATCAATGTAGGATCTGTTTATGAAATCAACCTTAGATTCTATATTCAAAGTTGCATGTGGAGTGGAACTGGACAGCATGTGTGGTTCAAGTGAAGAAGGCAGCAAATTTAGCAATGCTTTTGATGATGCAAGTGCAGTGACTCTTTGGCGATATGTTGATATCCTGTGGAAGATTAAGAAAGCTCTCAATATAGGATCGGAAGCTGAGTTAAAGAGGAATATCAAAGTGGTTGATGATTTTGTGTTTAAGCTGATCCGTAGCAAGACTGAGCATATGCACAAGTCACAAGATGATTCTTCTGTAAGTGAATCACTTCAAGGCTTTTGTTTCTGATCGAGGTATAGACATTTGATTTAACTTAATCACTCTATTTCGATTTCAGTTAAAGAAAGAAGATATTTTGTCGAGGTTTTTGCAATTGAGTGAAGTAGATCCAAGGTACATACGAGACATTATATTGAACTTCATAATTGCTGGCAAAGACACCACAGCTACGACTCTTTCATGGTTCATCTACATGCTTTGCAAGCATCCTGCCATACAAGAAAGGGTGGCACAAGAAATAGAAGAAGCAACTAACATGAAAGAAATTACGAACATTGGTGATTTTGCTGACCGTCTGAGTGAGGAAGCTCTAGAAAAGATGCAGTATCTTCATGCAGCTCTGACTGAGACTCTCAGACTCTATCCTGCAGTTCCAGTGGTAATGGAAATTTGACAGTATGCCATTTTCAATAGATACCTGAATACTTATGTCTTTGCTTTGAGTTCTTATTTTGTGTTATTCAGCTTCAAAACCTCACAGGGTTGATAACAAAATTTAGGTTTGATAATATCTTGTATTAAGCAGTAAGTTCCATATTTTAACCCAATTTGTTGCATTGACTTTGATATGTTGGGATAGTTCCCCAATATTGCAAAGACAGAATATTGATTGTCCTATCCGTTACATTCTTCAACTTAAGAACTGCTGGGATTGATTGTATCCCCGGATGGAGTTGTACTAAGAATGAATGAATAATAAAGAAGCTTCAGAATGTTGCATAACATGTTGGTGTTCAACCCTTTGTTTAGTTGACTCTAAAGATTAGGCAAGTCCTGTCTAGGATGCTGTCTGTAAGATGATAATTTTCCCACTGTGATGTACATATACTCCTAAATTCTATCTCCATCATATAATGCCTAATTCTAAGTCTTTATTAAGGGCTGCAGTTGTAAGAAGTTTTGAAACCAGAACTCAATCCGAATGAAAACCAGAAGCTTGAAATTACTACAATTTTTCTTTTTCCTTCTGGTTTATTATTGCTGATGGTTACCCGACTTTTAGTCACAAAAGCCATGTATATTTTTTACCAAATTGTTGAATTGTTTCAGTAATCTATGAATATGAATTTTCCATGGTTTCAGGACGCAAAGATGTGCTTATCAGATGACACTCTTCCTGATGGTTTTAACGTGAGGAAAGGAGACATGGTGGCATACCAACCATATGCAATGGGAAGGATGAGATTCATATGGGGCGATGATGCAGAAAAATACAGACCAGAGAGATGGCTTGATGAGAATGGTAGCTTCAAGCAAGAGAGCGCCTTCAAATTTACAGCCTTTCAGGTTAGTAGAATTGCTGTTAAATTTTTTTTTTTGCTGATTAAAAAAAGGGAAGCCGACCAGTAGATAGTAAACCCTGGGCATGACCATGAGGGTCCTGTGGAATGTCTAGTTTTAGCCATAGCTATTAACCTGGGAGGGCAGCCTGTCACCACAGTACCATTAAAGTCAAGGAGCAAACCGTATTAACCTCGTGAATTAAACCCTGCTTGATAACCCTATGAGAGTTGATTATGACTTTAAACGGGTACGACTTAGTAGTATACCACCAGCTCGGGTTGTGAATTGCTGTTACATTACCATTTCATAAATTTCACCCTTCAATCTCACCTTCTCCGTAGAAAACTTGGGTTTAACCGGTTGGCACTTGCCATTTTCAAATCGATGAATCACTGAAAACCAATTCAATTCACAACATTTTTCTATTTCTCACATTTAATTCAAGCTCAACCTTGAGTAAAAGTTTTGAACGAACTATAAATTTTTGATGATGAACAACAGGCAGGCCCACGAATATGTCTGGGGAAGGAATTTGCATATAGGCAGATGAAGATCTTCTCAGCAGTTTTGTTGCATTTCTTTGTGTTCAAATTGGGTGATGATCAGAAAGTTGTCAACTACAGGACTATGCTCAATCTTCGCATCGATGGCGAACTCCATGTTCATGCCTTCCACAGAGGCGGCCACTAGAACTCAACGGGTGTGTTTGTTTGTTGTGTGTTTGGTTTAATTAATACCACCTAGAGGGTGGTATACTAATAAGATAAACTGTGTATAAAGTGATCTCTCCTTTTTTTTTTTTTTATCAAAAATCATAAGCAGTTGTATTAATTTGGAATGGAAAGAGGTAAGGCATCATAAAGTCTGGTGCATCCCATAGCCAAACATCTAGATGATCAACAAATTTAGCATTTTGAGCAAATTCATGTGGCACCCAATTCCCTGTCCGTCTAACATCCTTGCATTATTACAATGACGGGAACTATAGTGAAGGTGATGTAATCACGGGTGGAGGAAGGTGGATCCCCGGCCTTGACGTCCATCCTTTCTGCTTCCTGTAGTTCTCGACTGCCTGTAAACGGAACGGAGCCTCTCTTGTGACGCGTCATGGGTAGCTTTGGATGCCTTCATGAGAGAAAGAGTTTTTAAGCTAAAATGAAGACTGTTGTTACTCTGTTAGCTAACACTAAAATTTAAGACCAGTTAGCAGTGAGCTTGGGCATGCCTGTGCCACCCCTATCACCCGTAAAGTGAGTAGTAGTAGAGTTTCAAATCCCGGTTAGGAATGTGTATTTGTGCGTAATCTAATCAAAGTAACCATAAACAGGTGAGACACTACCTTTGGAAATGAGAGCAACTTGGGTGGGGCTTCAACTACCTTCCAAATTTGATCAGATCACGTCCAGGAAAGTCCAAATCCTCTCTTGCGTCGACTTTTTTGTGTTTCTTTTTCATTGCTTCCAAACGCCTGCACAAATTCCAAACTAGTTCATTTAAATCTCCAAAAACTAGTGCACTTAGATTTTTTTTAGTCTTTCATTTTATCAGGCAATGCCAACATTTAGAGCTAACAGAGTTTGCTATATCAAACTCGAATGTTAATAGATTCTAGCAAGGCTGCAGTTCTATACTCTAATGGGATGTTACAAAGCTGAAGTACAGGATTTTCCTTAGGACCATTCTGGAGGTGGCATGGCTAATGTTCTAAAATGGTGTAGCGCCCCTGGACAACATCTATTTTATCCCTAGGGAAACCCGCAATCTAATTTTTTCACTTTTCCTTAACATGCTCATCCCAAGTTTCACCAAATTATCAAATTCTGATGTTGACATTCATAAGAACACGGTTCCAATTCAATGAAGCTTCTTAAAGAAACCTTCATAATGTTGAGAAAGGATCTCGCAATGCCTATCACTTTTAAGTATCAACAACAAAACATGTATTGACTATGACATTAACTAGATAAGTTCAATTCAGATGACGTTTCTGTAAAACATCTTCATCTTAGACACATTTTTCATCCTTTTCTAGTATCTTTTCTTTTTGATAAGAACAGAAAAAATTTAACAAAATGTTCATTTTACAAATTTAAAGAAAGGCTCACTGTTTCTTATGCTCCCTTCTTTTTGAACCACGTAATCCCTCCACCGTTTCAAACCGATGGTCTTCAGCTTGCTTCCTTTTTCTCTTTTTCTTTCTCTTTTCGAGCATATTATTTCCCACAATTTTATCACCATGATCCATGTGTTGTGGCATCAAATTTCCGTCGGTGACTTCCCTTTTGATCTTGATGATGCACAAAAATGATTTTGAACACCATCTGTCAAATGTAAATAATAAATGCAGTAAAAGTAAAGAGAGAATTGGAGGAGACAAGATTTATAGTGGTTCGGTCAACTCGACCTATGTCCACTCTTGAATGGCTTTCGTTGTCGGGTATTTTATTAATTTAAGGGTGTGGAGACAGAGAATACAAGTTTCGAGGTAGAAGAGAGAGTCAGGGAAAGTGTGGTGCCAAGCAATCAGTATCATGCCCCTCAAGTGTTGATGGGGCGTGCAATTTATAGTAGTCCTCTAACAGATTGGGGCTACTTTACAGCAACTAAAAGATTATTCTAGTGGAGCTCACGATTTCTTCTCAACGGGCGAGGAGGTTGGAGAGCTCTCCATGAGATGCAGTCAAAGATGACGTGAGAGTGGACCGTTTCCTTCGGTGGTGCAGATAGAACTTCTCATGCTCTCCCCTTTGATGACGTGGCTAAACAAAGAGTCTAACTGATCTTGGACTATATTGGGCTTGATGAATTTTTCATGAGGTTGGGCTCCTCAATTGGGGTTGGACTTCTCACATAAATTGGGCTATTTGGGTTTAACTCATCATTTGCCCCCCAATGCCCTGTGTTCAAGTAAAACTTGGAGAAGGAGGCATTGACTCTTCAATTGTATTTTTTTTTCTTTGGTGCAAACTTCAAGTTTTTCCCACTTTATTTTGAAGAGGGTCTATAATTTTCAATTTGGGTTTTTTCCTTCTTTTGAAAAACCCTAAACTATAAATATAGTCTTCTTCTTCATGCTACCCATTTCACTCACTTTTAAGGTTGAGCACCCACTTCTTAAAAACCTTGAAAACTCAAGTTCTATCCATTTTTGTTGAAACTAAAGTGTGTTCTCGTTGAATCCTTCCAAGAGTGGGATTTCTTCCTTTTTTAGTAGAGTTTCTCAAGTAGGCAATGCCGATTGAAGAGGGAGTGGTGGAGATTGAAGAAAAGGAGGAGGTAGGCACCATTTTAGGAAGCTTGGAAGTTGGTTTTGAGCATTCGGGTGCTGTCTTGGACAGCCTTGGTGCCGAAAATGGTGGACTGGACAGCTTGGGTGCTGAAAGTGGTGGGTTGGACAGCTTGGGTTCGCAAACCTCTCCGTTGGACAACACTTTTGTGTGAACCAGCGAGCAGGGAGGCGATTTGGGCAGTGCAGGAAGGCTGGGAAGCGCGCAAGGAGGTCTGGACAACGCGCCTGGCGGACTGGACAACGCAAACCTGCAACTGGGTAGCGTGCGCGCGCAGTCTGGCAGACTGGGCAGCGCGTGCGTGACTCCTGGGGAGCTGGACAGCGCTGTGCAGGCTGGAGAAGAGAGCAGTTCAGGCCAACAGGAGTGCAGTACAGGAGCTGGGCAGCAGCCTGGATCGTCTGGACAGCGCAAACACGCGACTGGGCAGCGCGCGCGTGATGCTTGGTGGGCTGGGCAGCGTTGTGCAAGCTGGAAAAAGAGCTGTCCAGGCCAGCAGAAGTGCAGTACAGGAGCTGGGCAGCAGCCTGGTTGCATGGGCAGGTCCGAGCACCACTCCAGGCACTGATTTGGGCATCGTAGGTGCTGATTTTGGTGCCGAAAATTCTGCTTTGTGCAATTTTGAAGGGGCAGACATACTTCCAGCTACTGGGCAACTTCGTTTCGGCGAGCAAAGGCAGTCAGACACCCCTCCAAGGGTTGGGCTAGACATTGCAAGCAGTAAAGAAGTTCTGGGTGCTGCTTTTGACGATCAAAACCCTACTGTGACTCCTCCAGTTCAAGTTTCTCAAGACCTCCCAGATGGTGGTTTAGACTACTCCATACGGCCCCGGAAAAAGAAACGCAAAGGTAAAGTGAAACTCGATGATGATGGGTCTAAGGTGAGTACCATTTTCAGTCTGTTTCGTTTAGATGAAGATATCTCGCGGCTTGTTTTTACTTATTGCATTCCTCCGACCGTGCTGTGCCGTCGGGCTGAGTTGGACGAGCTTGCTTGCGATGACTCTTCTGGTGATATTGTTGTTTACGAGGAGATGCTTGAGACTGGGTTAAGATTCCCCATGTCCTCTTCCATTTGTCGCGTTTTGCACTACTTTTCATTGAATCCAGGGCGACTAGCGCCTAATGGTTGGAGAGTTCTACTGGGCTTTCTTGCATTGTAGAGAAAAATGTACCATGAGGATGCTTCTTCTGTGGAGTTCCATGCGGCATACAACTTGAGCAAAACCCCTGCACCAAATAGGGGGTGGTACTACTTTACCACGAGAAGTGGTATAGTGCTTACGGGAAGACCCTCTAATTGTAGCGGCTAAAAATCTTGCTTCTTCTTTGTTGGTGGAGAGTGGGCTACAGAAGTCGACAGAGCTTTGGTGCCAACACATTGGGGTGCTGCTAAAAAATCCAGTACGCTGCACATTTTTATTTTTTTTATTTTTTTTTACATATATGTATACATGTGTGCTCACCATTTTCATGCAGACACGTCTATGCTTTCTCGAGACCAGGAGTGGAAGTTGGAGACTGTCAAGGCTTGCCCTTGCAAAGATTTGGGAGTTCTCCTGCCCAAGTATACTAGGGCTGTTGCTCTATCTCAGAAATCTAGTAGTTCCTTTTCGAAGAAAAGGGGTGAGCTAGTTTCCTCTTTTAATTCTCTTCTTCCATTGGTATTTTCCATTTACCTGACACTTCTCTGCTCTTGCAGCAAGTAAGATGGTGGTGGTGTCCCGTTTATGTAGTAGGAGCCCTCCCTCTTCCAAAGTGGCAAGGATGGATGATGCCCCCCAAGTGACTCCTACGGTGGTTCCTCCTCAGCTGGTGACTTCTCCAGTTGTTACTCCAGAATCTTCCTTGTCGGGCACATCCTCCCCACCTTCATCCTCTCCTCATGCTGCCTCTCCTTTGTCCCCTCCTCGTGTGAGAACTTCTACATGAGTGCCGATTTGGGCTGGTCCTATGATGGGGAGTCCGTCAGCCATCAGGGCAAGACTTGGGAGGTTTGTGTTTGGACCCGAAGTTTCTCAGCTTAGCGCTTCGGGTACTGATAGGATCATCGATACGTATTTGGAAGGCCTGGCTCAGGTGAGAGTCCACTATTCCCCTTTCTCCAGTCGTTTCTTTCCTGTATTCTTGACTTTTCTCAACCTCTTATCTCCTTTTTTTTTTTAGGTTTCGCCTTCCTCTATCTGCTTGCTTTCGAGGGCCTATAATCATGACAAGTTGAAGCTGGATCTAAGCCTTGTGCAAAAGGAGCTTCTTACTGCTCAGGGGAGGATTGTCAAGCTTGATTCTGAGCTTTTGGCGACCCATGAGAGAGACGCGCTCCGGGAGGGTGAGCTAGTGGCGGCTCATGAAAGGGCTTCCAATTTTGAGTCTAAACTTTTGACAACCCGTGCGAGGGACGCGCTCAGGGATGGTGAGCTTACTACAGCCCATGAAAGGGCAACTAAGCTTGAGGCTGAGCTTCTAGCGGTTCGCGAGAGAAATGTGCTCAGGGAGGCTAAGCTTGCAGAGGCCCATGGGGGGGCCATGCTCAGAGAGGCTGCTGTTGCCGAGGCAAAGTTGAAGGCTGCTTGGGAGAGAGTTTCCCGTGCTAAGGAAGACTTGGAGAATGGCCTAACAGATACTTTTATTGATGGTTTCAAGGATCTTTGAGGGAAGGTTTCAAGGATCTTTGAGGGAAGGTTTCTGCCGCTTTCCCTGGCATTGACTTCTCACGTTTCATGCCCACTGACGACAATGATGAGGGGGATCTGATGATGTTGATAATGACGAGGAGGAGGTGGAAGACGACCGTGAGAGCAGTTAGAGTGTTTAAGACTTTTGATTTTTTTTTTGATTTTTTTTATTATTATTTTTTTTTTGAAGAAACGATATTTGGCCTTATTTTTTGTACTGATACTCATTTGAAATGAAATATAAAAGATCTTTTTGGAGTAAATAGCGTAGAAAATTTTATTGATTTATTGCTTATAAAAAGTAATATTGGGTAATAATTCCCAAAAAAGTACATTGAATATTGGGTAACGCCTTTAAAAATCAAATCAAATCCCAACTTCTACTACTTTGATGTTCTCAAGGTGTCATTGATAATACTTCTTCAAGTGCTCTGCATTCTATGGATGGAGTAAGATTTTTTCCTCAGAATTCTGGATCTTGTATTTGTCTGGCCTTACTACTTCTGTTACGCGGTAGGGTCCTTCCCAATTTGGTCTCAACTTCCTTTCGTGTGCATCCTTTGTGGCGAGGATTACTTTCTTGAGGACCAAATCCCCTGGTTGGAAAGAACGAGGCTTCACCCTTGAATTGTAGTACCTTGCCATGCGCCGTTTGTACTCTGCGTTGCGGAGTAGAGTCATCTCCCTTGCCTCCTCCACCAAGTCGAGGTTGATGCGGAGTCTTTCCTCGTTGGTGATGGGGTCGTGGTGCTGGACCCTTAGAGAGTGTACCCCTATCTCCACAAGGATGACCGCCTCAGTTCCAAAGGCGAGGGAAAAAGGGGTTTCCCCAGTAGGGGTTCTTGGCGTGGTTCGATAGGCCCACAGTACGCCTGGTACTCCTCTACCCAAAGGCCCTTTGCTTTTTCAAGCCTTGTCTTTAAATTGCGTAGCACTATTCTTACCATGACCTCTGCTTGTCCATTTGCCTGCGGGTGTGCCAAGCTGGAGTAAGGTTGTTTTATCTGAAGGTCAGAATAGAAGGAGTTCAGCAGCTTGTTGTCGAACTGCTTGGCGTTATCGCTGACAATGGCATGGGGAATCCCGAAGTGACAGACCAAGCTCTTCCAGATAAAATCTTTGACCTTTGTGTATGTGATTTTTGCTAAGAGTTTCGCCTCTGACCACTTGGTGAAATAGTCGACTGCCACCACCACGAACTTGCACTACCCTTTGCTGAGGGGCAAGGGGCCTAGGATGTCGATGCCCCACTTTGAGAAAGGTCATGAACTTGAGATGGTTGT